AACTACATTGCCAGAGTATTTGGATAAGTATATTTCATTTTGATCAAAGGAGGTCTAGGGGGAGTCAAACACACCCCCACCGAATTTTATTCCCTTTGATATTAATTAAATTGAAATTTAAACAAAGGAATATCTCCTAGGGTACTTAAGTATATTTCATTTTGATTAAAGGGGGGCTTGAGGGTGACATAAACCTACCACACTGAATTTTTTCCCTTTGATTAAATTAAATTTAAATTTGAACAAGTGAATGTCGCCTATCCAAAATATAGGAGGAGAAAGCCAGAAGATGGAGGTCACATCTGCAAGATAAATTTGGATCAAAGATGGTCGCCGGAGAGGGTGGGACACGTCACAATGAAATTTCTTTCCCTCTGATTTAAATTAAATTTAAATTTGAACAAAGGAATGCCTACTAGGGTACTTGGATAAGTATATTTCATTTTCTTCAAAGGGGACTCCGGGACGAGGGTGAGGCACAACACCGATAACTGCAATTTTTTTCCCCTTTGAATGGCTCCTATCTAAAATATAGAACGAGAAAGCCAGAAGATGGAGGTCACATTGAGTAATATTGGAAGGCATCCATTTTCTCCATAAATTAGAACAATGATTTAAAATCAATCCTCATTTTCTTACAAAATAAATGTGTGACACACATGAAGGCGCGAGTAATTCGGCTAGTGACATAAATTTTTGCCAAAGGTTTTCTTCATTTTGTTGGCTCGTTAATTTTGTTTAGCAGCATATCAGCCTATATGGGATATTAATGCCGAAATCTAAATATTTTGTACGTAATTTTATGATTTCAACTACAGATAATTTTATATTTTCAGCGTAAATGTAGATATATATTTTGTAGATGATAAATATATATTTTTGGGAATTTTAATATAAAAATCTAATTTTATATTTTTAATGTTGCATTGATGGTCATTTGGCAATAAAATGTATTTTTTTGCTTTTTATTATAAAATGTATTGTTGATTTTTATTTGGGAGTTCTCCATTTGCCCTAACTCTGCGTCAGGATGGGCCTTGACACAACAGCAGGTGGTTCCACGTTAATCAAAATCTCCAATATCCCGATCAGAGGCCTTGCTGCCGGGTGTAGTTTATCGTCATACCCAGGAAGGTCTTTAGTTTGCAATGATATGTCAGTCGCATTGATGTATCATGCTGTAAAAGGTTTCTTCTGTTTTGTATCTTCAACGTGGTTGTTAGTAGCTGAAGAAATCTTCCCGACAAGCTGTCGTTGTGATTAGGTTGAATTGGCGAATTTAACTATATATACACACTTGTTGGTTTATTAAATGTACAAATCTGTGTTTTTTTTTTTTTATACTTGAGGCCACATTGGTTCGACATATATGTTTATATCTGTAAACATTGGTTGGATATACATTTGAGTTTATTGGCAAGACTTGGTCGGGTTTATACTTGAGTCAATAAGTAATCATTGGTTGGTCTGGTTTATAATTGTGTTGTAGAGTAGTTTCACAGTGGAGGCTTGTATTTCACTAAGTCGGTCCTAAAATAGGTTCGACGTACAAAACGTTAGGAACTTGATATAATAGTTAATGACGCAGCAATCTAGCTGTAGTGGCTGATACTTTAATGTCCGACATCGACTGACTGACAAACTCGCTGAGAGTATTTAGTCACCCGCCAACGAGGGCATCATGTGGTACAAGGCTGGTTTAACGTGGGATCTCCGAGCCCGTGGGCTCATACAAAAATATGCCCTTTGAACCCGTATAAACGGGCTCAGGGTCGGTTTACCTCCCCGAAAGAGACTCCGCTCTTCGGCGTAGCCTCGTTCGGGTTCCTCCCCGCCCGAAGGCAGAGTTCAACCGGTCAGCTGGTCGTCCGACTTCAGACTGAACTCAGACTCGCTGGGCGACTTCGCGACTGCTACTACTACTACTTATTATAGGTGGGAGAGTCGATTAACAATAGAATAGGTGTGTTCCAGTATAACAAATTGAGTATATAGTATAATATTAGCCGAATGAAGCACTGATGAAGTTTATAAGTAATTATTGTTCGGGTTTATATTTAAGTCGTTAGGTAAACATTTGGTCGGGTTTATAATTAAGTATCTAGGTAAGTATTGGTCGGGTTTATACTCAAGTCTATAGGTAAACACTGATGAAGTTTACCCTCGAGCCTGTAAGCAAACATTGACGAGGTTTGTATTTGAGTCTATTACTAAAGACAAAAGAAAACACTTGGCCGACGCGTTTCGTCCTCTGATGGACTTCATCAAGGCAAATATAATGATTTTATTTTGTAACAAGTAATTTATATACAAGAGCATATATTTTCGAAAGTGCCGCTATAGAATTTTATCAAAATATAAATCTACCTCCTTCAAAATTCTTTAAAATATATACTTATATATATATATATATATATATATATATATATATAAACATCATCATTATTTACGTTGTTCGGACTATTGTCTTCTTCTTTGTCGCCATATTTATCACAACGTTTCGGCCGTGGTATGCTCCGGCCTTCTTCAGGTGGTTGGAATGTCGAACTGAACCCTTTATTTTGCTCACTGGGGTAGACTGTTCTAATTCCACATGCCATGTTTAATGGATGTCAGTTATCAGTTATCTCCTGTTAATTTCCCTCTCCAAGTTCTCCGCTGCCTTAACCGGGTATTGAACTCACACTCTTTGGGTCCTGTCACTGGATCTAACCAACGCCTTTATCAACTGTGGTATGTGTCCTTGAGGTTAAGGCAGTGGAGAGCTTTCATTGCTTGTTTGGGTTGATAGGCCAATATTAGTGGAGTTTATACTTGAGTCTTCAAGCAATCATTTGTTGGGTTTATGCTTGAGACAATTGGCAAAGATTTGTCAGATCTCTCGTTGATGTATATTCAGTCTATAGATAATCATTGGCAAATATAGGCAAATATTAGTCTCTGTTATACTTGAGTCTAATGAGAAAAACCGTGGTCGATTTTGAAACAATGGTATTGGCACTCAGCGATCATATGACAGAAAAAAAGGAAAAAAAATTGATCAACTGTCAAAAAGGATACACAAACGTTGATGAGAAGGAACAGAACTCCAGATCTTTTTTTAATCGAAAAATTTTAAAACTAAATGCTCAAAAATTGGCATAAGTCATGAATCTAAGTTTCAGCGTTAGGACGTGTCACATAAAACTCCAGATTTCATATCGAATGCAATGTTGATTATTTTTTATCAAAAGTGAAAAATCATTCTGTTCTATTGTCACACATGGTCCAGCGCTCCTGTTGTCTTTTCTGTAAATACTTTCTTGGCAATTGTTTGGATGAGCTTTTCGCTAAGGTACCTAGAGTTTATGAATGTGAGCGCAGTACTAAACTGGCAATAAGGTCTCATCATTGTTCAGTTGAATTGTCTAGATGCAATCGTAAGTTGTATGCTAACAGTTTCTTTTCTCGCACTTCTAGCTTGTGGAACTCACTCCGGGCTCCATGCTTTCCAGCCAACTTTGATCTTCAAATATTTAAATGCAATGTCAATTGTTTACTGTCTTCATTCATCTATTGTTCCCGCTGCTTAATAATGCTTCTGTTTTCCAATTCTTTCACGCCTAGTAACCCTCGTGTCTTAGTGGCTTTATTGCCTTGCTTCGGGTGATTTTGATTAAAAAAAAAAGACCTGTACCTCTATTCTCTCTCATCAACGTTTGTGTATCCTTTTTGACAGTTGATCGAACGGTATGACGGTAGAGTGCCAAGTAGGCAAAAATGATCATTTTTAGGCACCTGCTTTCTCTTCGCTTTCAATCGACACAATGATGCTCGGCACAACGACGCTAATTTACCCCCCCCCACCCCAAATGCTATTCAAGAACTTGGTTGGGAATTTCTATCAACCTCACCGTTTCCTCCTGATTTAGCACCTTCAGTTTATCACCCTTTTTTTTCGGTCGCTTTCCAATCGTCCGCGAGGTGTTTCGTTAAACAACGACGTGAAGTTGAAAACGAGGCTCGATGAATTCTTCGAGAACTTCCAAAACCTGGTGATTTCTACTGTCAAGACATTGTGACAAGCTAGCGGAACGTTGGCAAGATGCCGTGAATAATGAAGGAAAATGGAATGAGGATCGATTTGTTAAAACTGTTGATCGGATTAAAATAAATCCCGAAAGCAACGTCGAGCCTGGTCAGTACATAGATGGGTGACTGTTCGAGAATACCAGCTGTAAGTTTGGATGTGATGGTGGTGTAATGGATACTGTCTAGGAATTGTTAATCTGACATCCGTGTTCCAAATCCAATTGGGTGTTATGGCGATTTCCAAAGTTAAGCAACGTCGAGCCTGGTCAGTACTTAGATGGGTGACCGTTTGAGAATAGCTGATGTAAGCTTGGATGCGCGGGCGGTGTAATCGATTAGGATTTGTTAATCGGAGAGCCGAATTCCAAATTCATCTGGGTTTCTTACGATTACCAAAGTTAAGCAACGTTGAACCTGGTCAGTACATAGATGGGTGACCGTTTGAGAATACCAGCTGTAAGTTTGGATATGATGGTGGTGTAATGGATACTGTCTAGGAATTGTTAATCGGATAGCTGTGTTCCAAATTCAATTGGGTTTCAGGCGATTAACCTTTTAAGCAATGTCGAGTCTGGTCAGTACCTAGATGGGTGACCATTTGGGAATACCATCTGTAAGCTTGGATTTGATGGCGGAGTAATAGATAATGCCTCGGAATTGTTAATCGGAGAGCCATGTTCCAAATCCAATTTGGTTTCTTACAATTACACAAAGTTAAGCAACGTCGAGCCTGGTCAATACATAGATTAGTGACCGTTTGGGAATACCGGGTGCTGTAATCTCGGATATGCGAGTAGTGTAATGGATTATGGCTTTCTGAAGTTATTTTCGCTATTCCAATGTTACTTCGGATTTCGGTGTCACATTTCCCATCCTCCGACACAGATATTTTAAAGTTTTGCACTTGTTTGATTTTGTTATCTCTTTTTTGCGTTGAAACACCGGCTCCCGTACAACCACTGAAGTTAAGCAAGGCCAAGCTTGGTCAGTATCTAGATGGATGACCGCTTAGAAATAACAGGTGCTGTAAGCTTGGGTGTGAGGGCGGTGTAATAGATAATGTTTCGAAATTGCTAATCGGTGATCCGAGTTCTAATCCCCGTCGAGTTCGTTATATCGACTTACGCGCAAATACATTCGAGACAGGTATGAATCCACCTCTTTTTCCCCACTTATGGGTTAAATAGTAAAACTTGTATCATTAAACCATTATTGTCTCCATGAGAAATTCTCATAATTCTTACATTTTCTGGCTTTAAATAACCTGCAATGTGCTGATAAGCCGTAAAAAATAAATCAATCCATATGTCTGCCGTATATGGACCTCATCACCGAAAATTTTGTGTGTGCGATCTCCGATTCGGTTATTTTTCATTTTTTGCTATACTCATCGTCTTCATCCGATGATGCCAAACAATCGTCTATTGATTCCATATCTGGCCCGGCGCTGCTCAGTCTTCATTGTCAAGTCTTGTTAGAGTTATAAAAATCGTTTACGCAGGTGGGAGTGAGAATAGTTTCCCCCGCAGCAACCTCTTTCTCAGACATACGACGTCGGTAGCTTGATCGCTATTTCCATCCCATCTGTTCAGATGAGCTTCATTCTTTAGTTCCACGAGTGGAGACCTTTGACAGCTCGGACACGCCTTACGATTCAAATTGTCCTCATATCATCTATATTCTGAATGTAAAGAGAAAGTTTACCCAAGCAGCTTCCCGCATCACGAGAACTGCCATTTTGATGAACAGACACCGATGTATGAACTTTCCTAAACACTACAATCATAACCTCTTCAAGTCAAAGGTCAGTCGTTATATATCCTCCTTATCCCCATAATTTTCACTTTATACAAACTTTCATTCCTAACACACACTTCATTCCTCATTCAGTCAGTTACGTGCCATGCGTGATACACGCTTAGGCGATCATGAATCTTTCAATACATGACTGACGAGGCAGATTTTTTTCCCGCAGTAGGTTCCCATTTCTATAGAACCCGGTCTGTCCTGCTAACAAGAGAAATAGAATATTTTTTTTACCGTGAATATTTTACTGAATACAAGAGTAGAAAAAACAATCTTAACATCTTCAAGTCAAAGGTCAATCGTTATATATCCTCCTTATCCCCTCACTTTTCTCTTTATACAACCTTTCATTCCTAACACACACCACATTCCCCATTACCATTTTACCAGTAACTCATTACATTGACTGACCGGTAGAATATATCGACTGCGGAGGGATACGACCCTAGCTCCAGTTAGTAGTTCAAGGTATGACGATAAATTACATCCGGCAGTAAGGCCTCTGATCGTGAGATTGGAGGCTTTTGAGGAGCATTGTACCCAAAGCCACTCTGACTTGGGGTGGTAGCACCTGTTAGGATCCCAGTTAGAATAGTGAACCCCACCAAACAAAATTCAAAACACTAGGAAATTATAAAAATATATTCTTATAGTAGAATTAGCAGCAATACCAGAAATACATTGCTGTCATAAAATTACTAACAATACATTTTATAAAAATCACCAACATACATTTTTATAGAAGAATGACCTACATTTATATTAGAATTGCCAACATTATATTTTAAAACAAAATGACTAACAATACATTCTATAGTAGAATCACCAACGATACATTTATATAATAAAACGAACAATAATAACTTTTTATTAAAAAATATGACAATCAATATAACACTAAAAAAAAATAATCTAAAACGCATTTTTATAGGACAATTATCAGCAATAGTTTTTTTTTTAATAAATAACAATATATACAATAATAATAATATATTTTTGTAGTGAGATTACCAGCAATATATTTTTCTAAAATTAGCAGACATATTTTTTGTCATGTACAAAGGGTATATCTAAAAAGAATCCGTATACTCTGAAGGTATAAAATTGTGTAGTTGATGGCATAAAACTGCGCTCAAAATATTTAGATTTGTCATTAAATAACTGATAGGATTTGATATGCCTCTAAACAAAATCAACTAAACAATCTACCTTGACTGGTTCTCGAGGCTTGAATTGGGGTAATTCTTGTATAAGAATTGCGTTCATCGAGCCTGGTTATTAGAAATTGGATGCTTCCACTCATTTTTTTTCATCGACTCTTACACGTGACCTCTGCTTTTTTCGCTTGAGGTTCCAAATTGAACTCTGGAGTCAGTTTAAACTTACACCTTTTTTTTTCCATATAATTATAAACTAGAATTTTCCAAAGTGAAAATTTCCTTGAAATTTGTTGAAAAAATGTGTAAATTCTCATCTGAAATTAACAAAAATACAAAATGTAAGCAAAATGTTTGCACTGTATGGAATAAAAAGATGGCGTCAGTTTAAATTGACGCCAGAGGATATGCGTTAATTTGACACTTTCTTTCTTTTTCATATATTTAACCTATAATTATAAAATATAATTTTGGAAATTGTAAATTTCACGGAATTATGTTGAAAAACGCCCAAGTCTTCATCTGAAATCAAGAAAAATACAAACTTAAAGCTAAATTGTTACATTGTATGAAAGAAAAAGATGGCGTCATTTTAAACTGACCTCAGAGGATATGGGTCAATTTGATGCTTTCCTATTTTTTGATATATTTAAACCACTTTTATCAGTTATATTTTAGGAAAGTGCAAATTTCGCTGGAATATACAGTTTAACTCGGATATAAAAGAGTTGTCGGGACCGGAGAAGAAGTCTCTTATATTCGGGTTTCTCAAATCACTCTGTAAAGTCAACATCAAAGAAGATGAAGATATCTACTATAGTGATTTTTCTAGACACAATTTAACTACTATTTAACCCATAGCTGGGGGAGTTGGATTAATAATAATAATAAGGGATATATTGATACAGAATGTTGGGATAAAAAGCAACAATAAGATAGAAAAAGAAACATATAATAAACTAATAGTAAAATGAAGACTGTGTTGAGCCAGAGGGTTGAGATAAAAAACAACAATAATAAAACAGAATAAAATTATTAATGAAATCATAGTACAGTGTAACCCGGATATAAGAGAGTTGTCGGGACCGGGTTTCTCTTATATCCGGGTTGGGTCTATTTTATATACATTAACACAGGCTCTAATTTGGGACCAGAGAAAATCTCTCTTATATCTGGGTTTCTCTTATATCCGGGTCTCTTATATCCGGGTTACACTGTATTAGATATGTACTTACTTTTCATCTGAAATTCAGAAAATGCGAACTTTAAGCAAGTTGGTCCCGATATATGGAAAAAAGAAGGCGATTGTTTAAACTGACTGCAAAAGGATATGTTAATAAGGAAATTGTGAGAATCATGTGTTACACGCAGTGGTTGAATTAAACTTTGTTTCCACACAGACCAAAAATCGAGATGTACTCGATGTGGAACGAACTCAAATGCAGCTGTAAACATCTGCAATAGATCCAAATGGGTCCCACTCTCTCCGAATACAAGAATGGAAAGAGAAATACAGTATTTTTTATTATGATGGTTTTATTAAATTCAAGAGAAGGAAGATGAAGCCAATGTTTTATAACGTTTTTAATCTGTAATGATGTAATAACTGTACCGCGTGTCTACAGTCGGTCTGAAGTTATTATGCATCTTTATAATACTAAAATTCTGTGAACTTTGCTTGCTTGCTTGTGTGTTTGTCACCGTGCACACGAAGTCATATACAGAGAGTGGGGAAAGAAAGATGTAAATTTATTATCGAGTAGGAAGAGGGTAGAGAAGGAAATGGTGTACATAATGATTTAAACTTCTTTCCACCTTCCTCTTTCCACGTCTCTCTTTCCATCTCTCTCGCTCTTTACATCTCTCTCTTTTTTCATCTCTCTCTGTTTTCACTTTTCTTTCTTTTCACTTCTCTCTCTCTTTCTCTACTTCTCTCTTTCTACCTCTCTGCGTGCTTATTTATATTTCATCTTTCTTTAAACAAACAATATTTCAAATATTTTTTGCGATATTTAAAAAAATATTTTCAAGTGAATATGATTTTAAAATATTTTTAAAATATTTTTTGGCATATTAAAATATATTTTTAATTTGATGTTTTAAAAAATATTTTAAGTGAATAAGATTTTATAATATGAGTTGCTTATACAGTATGTATTTTTATTTCAACTTTCTTCAAACAGACAATTTTTTTAATGTGGAAGTCAACTTCATTGTTTTATAACCTGAACTGTCAGTGGCCCAACGAATCACGGGTAGACTACTATCACATAAATCTCAATAATTCGAATTTGTTTTGAACTATCTTTATTAAATTTTAAACGAATAATTTGGACATCATTATAAAGTTTTCGCTAATTTTTATGTAGATTAAACATATTTTTATTAACATTATTGGATTTATTATATAAAATATAGTCTAAAGTTGTTATGCGCAACCAGAAAATCACTTTAATAAGAAGATAATAAAATCATCATCATATAATACCTTCTTTTTTTTTTTTTTTTGAATATACGCTCTTTTAGCGCTAGAGGGCGTCGTCAGTGATGTTCTGAATTGGATCATTGGGCAGTTTCGGGTCTTTCAAACATCATACTGACCTCACCAAATCGACCCCATCAGAGCTGATCAGACACTGATACGCACTCTAAAAAATGCTTGTAGACACTGACTTCTTTAAATGTACCCCGTTATCACACAGCCAATCATAACGGTGCGAACTCTATTTAAACATACATGAAACGTTTTACATCTCAATATAGTAAGCTTCCTTCTCAGTAACAGCCAGCAATCCATTGAATTTGTTGTTTTTTTTTTTAGTTCAGCAGGTTCATTTTCTGATATAGCTGTTTTAAGTGCTTTCTAGTATTTGCTGTCAGATTGTTTGCCACCTTCATATAACTTCGTTTTAACAATTGACCATAGATTTTCGATTGGATTCAGATTGGAATTTGACGGTGACCATTCTATTATCTTCTCTCTTGTAAACCTTTTTTTCCCACGTTCAAAAAATATATCCGACATTTTTAATGCCATGCAATTGCTGCTGGGTCACTTTAGATACATC